CTCATGACTGGCTGCCAGCTGGATTTAACCCCATTCACCACCACTCTCTGGGCTCCACCATTCAGCCAGTTCTTTACCCAGCGAAGAGTACACCCATCCAAACCATGGGCAGCTAGTTCCTCCAGGAGGATACTGTGGGGAACAGTGTCAAAGGCCCTACCAAAGTCCAGGCAGACAACATCCACAGCCTTTCCTGCGTCCTCTAGGCAGGTCACCTGGTCATAGAAGGAGATCAGGTTGGTCAAGCAGGACCTGCCTTTCATGAACCCATGCTGGCTGGGCCTGATCCCCTGGTTGTCCTTCACAAGCCTGGTGAGCGCACTCAGGATGAATCACTCCATAATCTTGCCCAGCACTGAGGTCAGGCTGACAGGCCTGTAGTTCCCAGGATCCTCTTTCCAGCCCTGCTTGTCAATGGGTGTTACACTGGCGATCCTCCAGTCATCTGGGACCTTCCCTGTTAGCCAGGACAGAAGTTTCCTTCTGTGTTGCCAGTAATGTCTAAGAAAGTAAGAATGTTTACATAAACCCCCTTGTTTTCACTGAAACTATATGTGTTTATTCACTTCTTTCAACTTCAGCAAGGAAAACAGATACATTTTCTTGCTGGGCAGTTGTGTTATTTGTGCCACTGCATCTGCAGCATGGCAGGTCTCAAAATTCATTTTTTTGAAGTCCTTAAATCCCCAAAAAAAAAAATTTGAACTTCAGTTGTTAAATGTATTTTCATGTTAGATTACTGGTGCTTTGGTTTTACTTTACTTGCATGCTTTGAACTAGTAATTTCTCTTTTTGTTTATTGGATGGAATTTTACATTTTAAGTAAGCTAAACTTGGAGATTTTCTGATCTTGCTTTTGTAGCTAGCAGTTGTTAATAAATAACAGTACAATTTTGTATGCTTGACAGGATGTTTGCAGATTAATCGGAGAGTAAACAGAAAGAGTAAGAAATTAGGTAGCAACTAACCCTTATTTCCAGGCTGCAATACCGTTGTGAGTGTTAAAGTTCCTGTCTGCTTTATTTCTTGTCTGCCGCAGTTCTGAGCGGGTGCTGTGTAACTGCAGCTCAGCAAAGCGAACAGTGTATTTGTAATCATTCATAATGGGTGAACAGGGTCGTTTTAGGCAAGAAGTCTTAAATATCAGGAGTCTCCAGCCTGGTAAAGAGACTACTGGGAAACAGTATGTTAGAGATCTGTAAGACCTTAGTAGTATGGAAAAGGTGAAGAGGGAATTATTCAGTTACTGTCAGTGCAGGTATCAGATGATGCCCAGTAGAGAGTCAGAAAGCTTAAAATAAAAAGAAGTAACTGTTCTTCATGACAAATAATAAAATCATGAACCCATTAACTGGGGGTGGTGTTGAGACCAAAAAAGAGTAGAAATGCTGAAGGAGTAAGATACATCCATGGAAGGTAATTCATGAGTTGCTATTAAACAACCATCTTCATGCAGTCTGTAGCTCAAGTCTGTAGCCTGCAGGAGCTGGAAAGACACACCAAAGAAAAGAGCATTGTATACATGTGTCAGTCTACTGGGACGTGTTAGGATAGGTAGATACTCCCTGGTGTTGTTGACAGCTTTTCTATTTGTTTGCTTTTCACCATCTGCATTCCTTCTTTCTCTCCCTTTCCTTCCTGCATATTTTCACATTTCTGCTCCAAGAATTGTCTGTGCTGCTTCTACTTGCTGAAAAGCATTTTCTTCCTTACTATATTCTGCTTTCTGCAAAATATAAAAATTAAGCATCGTTTAGCTTTTTTCTTTTTTCATTTTTACATTCCCAGTGCCTTTATGGATATATTGCTTGCAGCTGTATTGGTAAACTGAAGGAAAAGGCATGTGTTTAGCTCTCTGCTTGTCATCGTGGAAACTTACCCTCAGTGAAAGATGAACCTAGAGAAATAAAATAGCTGGTAATCCGAGTAAGCTCGTGAGCATGTCCTTTACTTTTTAGACCATGCCCATTATTGTGTGTGTTGTTACAGGTCTGCAAGCCAGGCATTGAATGGATTAATACATATGCAGACATGAAGTTTGTCTGTGTAGTGATTTGTGAATTGTTGGTAATATTGAAAACACAAAAAGAGATTTTTTTTTTAACAGATGTTTTTAGCCTTTCATCAGCAGTGAAATGTGGCGTTCTTATGAAGCTGTACAGAAGCTGCATAGTATAGTATGGATTACAGGGATATTACTGTATAGCGGTCAATTATAGCTAGAGATGAAAGCATGTTTCTCTGCTTGCCCTTCTGTAGGTCCACTCTGGTATTATTGGCTGAGTTCTGACACTAGAGACGATATCAAGAGAAGTCTTTTAACAAGTAAACAAAAAAAAGTGGGAACACGTTGACAAGTCGGAAACGCAGCTACATCGTCTCGCTTCTGTTTCTGACTCAATGTATTATTTGTGATGTTTTCTTAAGTTACTTATCATAGATGCATCATTTGTAGAACTGGGAAAATAATATTAACTCACATTTTTCAAGACCTTTAATGTGGTCACGAAAGAGACTGAAAATTTTTGTCAAACGTGGAAAATACCAGCATTAAATATCTAAAATGATGGGTATTATATCCAGCATTAGTTGTGCTGTATATGATTTCTTGTATTTGATTGAACTTCATCTGTACTGTGTATGGACTATAGCTTTTTTGCTTTTACAAGTACTTTTCTCCATTGCATAGACATTGCACTACAGCTACAGGTAAGGCTACTTTAATGGACTTTCTGAAGTTCTACTTGTATAGATACGTCTATACATACATACAGAAGTATAAATAGATATAAAAAAATTAGGAACAGTTCATGTGTTTGATTTATGCATTACACTGGATAAAAACATAGCACAGTTTTGAAAAATGATTCTTTATGATGCTAAGGCAAGAATTTAAGATAGTTTTCTGCACATGGATTGGCCTAAGGTGGAAGTACAAAGGGTATTTTTATTACTACTTCTGTGCTGCAGCATTATTCATCAGGAGTAACACAAATTATACTGGGTTTTTATTTATTTTTATGTGATACAGCCATTCATTTCTTTCCACAATTCTGGAGTTATACCATGGCTCTTGCTGAAAAAAGCCTTCTGAAACTTTGCTTACGTGGACGTTCCTAAGATGTGGTCTTGGGAGCCAAATGTAAGTGAAGGTGGCAGTACAAATTGCTCCCAACAAAACTAGTTAATGGATTAAGGAAGGTCACCTTTAATAAACAGATACAGATCGTCCCGGATTTATTCTTCACAGGTAAGCCTAACCACATCAAAAGTTTTGAAGAACAGAAAACATCTATCAGATACTAGGATAAGAAACAAAATGCAGAGTCAGGCAGAGTTCTTGTGTAAGTGCTTTTCTAATAACAACCTGCATCAGATTTGAGTTTACTGATTGCAAATGGTATATTATTGACAATAAGAATATAATAATTGATCTCCCTTTTACTTGAAGGTTTATAGAGAATTTTGTTGGGGGTTCTAAAAAAAAAAAAAAAAAAAAGCTTAAACTTTGCTATTTAACCAATTTGTCATCTTCTTATAGCTGTGCTTTGGAATTAGAAGACACTTCCTGAGAAAATACATAACAAGATGGCACGACTCCTAGCCAGTTATATTCCTTCATAGTTACTTATCTATGTCAGAAGAAGAAATACTTGTCTCCTGGAGCTGTTCCTCACACTTTATTTATTCTCAACAATCACTGTACTTGGTTGTTTACAGAAGTATAGAAACAACTTGTGCTTTCATTTTACAGATATTGACAACAGTGGGTATGTCAGTGATTATGAGCTTCAAGACCTGTTTAAAGAAGCAAGTCTGCCCTTGCCTGGTTACAAAGTTCGGGAGATCGTAGAAAAAATCATTGCAGTGACAGATAGCAGCAAGGACGGGAGAATCGACTTTGAAGAATTTGTCTCGGTAAGACATTCCCTTTGGATGTTTCTCTACTATCTGGTATCTGTTGAGAACTAGGATAGCAAACTGAAATAAGTGTTACAACTAAGTACTGTTTTGGTAGAAATAACTAATATTTTGAGAATGGGAAATTTTTCTGTGACAATTTACGATATCCCATCTAATTATTTTCCAGTCTTTATATTTTACTCTCCCATTTAGTTTAGTAGATTTTATGTGGGCAGCTCGTGAGAGCATAGTAATTTCAATCAGTCCTACTTCCTGTTTTCTGAAAGATGAGGGGTGGACTACATATTTTAGGAACTGTTGGGTCAGCCCTTGCCCTGACAAAAGAGTAGATGATTAGATACCACCCTCTGAATTCTCTTAGTGATGAACTAATGCTTGTGCTACTATGCTTAATCTCTATACTAAAGGCTATTTTTTACTGGGAGTGAGGCAGTTTTACACTTTCAATGAACAAGTTTAAAAATAGTTTAAGCCTTTCCATGTGGATGACTGACTAGTGTGCTTTAAGAGAAACAAAATCTTTTTGGGCTGTTGGTTTGTGTGTATCTGTTTGGAGAAGATTAGTTTTTGCATTGAATTTAGAGTACTCCTGCTAATTGCAGCAGGTTGCTAGTTGAATTAGTTATTGATGTTTCTTTCTGACATTCTAATTTGCAGTGGTTCATAGGTGAGATACAAATATTTGCATTGAACTGTTGAACTGTATCTGTTACTGGTACTTTGTTGTCAGTTTTGAGACCTCTACAGTATTTGGGCAAATTTAGGGCACATTAGTATATCCAATGTGGTTTACATTGCAGGCAGGTGGAAAATAGTACCAGCTTGCTTAAGGGCATGTGTAACTGTCATGTAGTAACCTTTTACTGTAAAGCATATGATGAAGTAAGTGGAAGAGATATGCTATAGTCATTGAAAATGTGTATATCTTCAATTATTTTCTTGAATGTACCAAAATATCTGTGGAAAAATTGTGTGGATTTTTTAATATCTACTTTTTTAGGTAGCATGGCTTAATAAAGGTAGCACTCGAGGTACTGACTGGGAAATAATATATCAGATATCCAGTATGCAAGTTTCATGAAAGGATTTAAACTAGTTTTACCCTTACAGTAGATTTTTTTTTTTTTTTTTTTTACCAGAAGTCAATGGGAATACCAGAGAAAGGCAGTCAGATTAATTGCAGACTCGGGATTACTTGCATGAGTTAACACATAGTTATTTGAAGGTATGATCAATCAGAAGTGTGCTCTGTTTGGTTTTTTTTTTGTTTTTGGTTTTTGTTTTTTTTTTTTATTCCAGATAACTCAGGAATTGAAAAGTAAAGATGTCAGCAAATCTTTCCGAAAAACAATAAACAAAAAGCAAGGCATTACGGCAATTGGAGGAACGTCAGCAATATCTAGTGAGGGGACGCAGCACTCTTATTCAGGTGAGAGGTAATTGAATTACGAGCAAATTTTGCATGAAGGAAGACTCTAAGTTTGCACTACAGACAAAGAAAAAAAAAACTGGAAAATGTTGCTGTTGAAAGCAAATTAACACGGAGAAGGCATGTGGAGATGGATAAGTGTGGGTGGTAGTTAACTGAAATGTGGGCTGTTCATTTGTTGCTGATTTCATGCTGCACTTGGAGGTAAGTTAGACATCTTTGTGAGAGTGAAAAATCAAAACAAGCACTGGCAGCATGGTGGGGGAAATAAATGGCCCCTTTGGCATACTTCTAGTAATGCTGGTCAAGTTTCTGGCTTAATTACATCCTAGTATACTCTTATTCCTATACTCAGATAAAAATGAATCCCCATTTTCATTTACACAGTGTTAACTAAAATGAAAAAAAACCCTACAAATCATTTCTGGATGGAAGGGCCTCTTCAGCTGTCTCTGCTGTTACAGAGTTCTTGACTCCCATATGGTTTTTGCATAGCCTATCTCGTACTTGAGAACTTGCTTTTAATATTTGATCTCTGTTTCTTTCTACCTCCCCCTGCTGCATGTCATTTAAGTTGGTAATTGTGCTTAATTGCATTTCAGCTCCTGGTCCGAATGTTAACTACGTTCCAGGATCATATTCCAATAAGCAATATTGCAACTCTTTTGATTTACTTGAGCCTGAGATTTGCTGTGGTTCCAGAAGAATGTTAAGATTCTATATATGAGGAAGATTCACTTCACTTAGCTAAAGGTGGTAGTACACTTTCTCTAGGTATTATCCTTGTAGCACCAGCTGCACTAGGTATATCTCCAAGGCAGGGGATATATTTCATCTCAAAGGATGCCTGCAAGGGGGACACCATCAGAGCTAATTGTTTAGACTCCCTTTCATTTTTCGACGGAGAGAAACTGACCCCACTAGACTGCAATTCATCTGACCTGGCCTCGTCAGCCATCTAGTTTGTGATGAGATGAAGTATGCACTAGAATTTCATGTTTCTTCCCGCTGATAATGAAATAAGTGTAATCAATCAGGTGTAGATACCTGTCTTGTATGCTTCCTGAGGTGACATGAAAACCACCTGTACTGTCCAGTAATTTGGATACTGATACTTGATTAACTGATGTCCCAATAAACATTCTTAGATACTCAGTAAAAAATTCTGCACTAAATATGAAAGAGAATTTAAAACTGAGGCACTAAACTTTAAGTTCTTCAAATACAGCACAGTAATTCAGATGATAGTCTCAAGAATACTGCCAGTCACTAAAGTTCTAGTAGAAGGCAGAATGAAATGCTGCACTTTAAACCAGTGATCTGTAGACTGAGATGTTGCATGTCCATCTCTGGAGCCCTCAGCACAAGACAGACATGGACCTGTTGGAGCAGAGCCAGAGGAGGCCACAAAAATGATCCAAGGGCTGGAACACCTCTCCTGTGAGGACAGGCTGAGAGAGTTGGGGCTGCTCAGCCTGGAGAAGAGAAGGCTGCGGGGAGACCTTGTAGCAGCCTTGCAGTACTTAAAGGGGGCCTACAGGAAAGCTGGAAAGGGACTTTTTACGAGGGCATGGAGGGATAGGACAAGGGGTAATGGCTTCAAACTGAAAGAGGGTAGATTCAGACTGGAGTAGATAATTATAAAGAAGAAATTTTTACAGTGAAGGTGGTGACAAACTGGAAGAGATTGCTCAGAGAGGGGATAGCTGCCCCATCCCTGGAAACATTCAAGGTCAGGTTGGACGGGGCTCTGAGCAACCTGCTCTAGTTGAAGATGTCCCTGCTCACTGCAGGGGGGGTTGGGCTAGATGGCCTTTAAAGGTCCCTTCCAACCCAAACTGTTCTATGATTCTATATTTCAGATAGCAAATTTTCATCTTTTCATTGTAATTGTTGAGAAACTGAATTCGGAGTCACCTATGATGACCCATTATGTTGCTATCATTTTTATTTGGTCCTTCAGAAAATCATGAGACGTTTAGGGGGTGCAGCAGGGGAAAGGTCAATCTGTACTTGCCATTTTTTACGTGCTTTTTCACTGATCTGTTTCTTTTCATAGCTGGCCCCTGTGAAACTAAGGGGTTTTATTGCAGATGAACCTCTTTGACCCAAGTCTGATGTTTAGTGGTATGTATTCGTGGAAACGATAATAGATTATTTTAATGCTGTTTTTCTTTTCAGAGGAAGAAAAAGTTGCTTTTGTCAATTGGATAAATAAAGCTCTACAAGATGACCCAGACTGTAAGCACCTCCTACCTATGAACCCATCAGATGCCAGTCTGTTTAAATCTCTTGCAGATGGCATCCTTCTCTGGTGAGTCCAGGACTGAGAGAAAGAAAATAAAAGGTTAAATGCCGATTGCAGTGACAGAACTTGGAAAACTGATAGGCTTGAATGTCAGGACTCTGCTCTTTCTGCTCTTAAATATTTGAATCAATGTGTGGGATGGGGAAAATCTGTTTGCCCATAGAAATGTTACTTTAAGCTATTTTTTATATGAGACTGTACGTATATTATAGAAGTGAGTTTCCACTTCTGATCTGTAATTGTACACGAGATGTGCAAGGCTTTTTATAAAGGAGATAATTACACAGTTCATATATTCATTAGCTGAAATAATTATAAATCTTTGCTATTTCAAATATTTTAAAAAGTTAATCAATGTAGTTACTAAATCATAGGGTAGGAGGAACAGAAATCTGAATTAAATCCATGACAAGACAGAGAGCGTATAGTACGTCCCTTAACTTTAGTCCGCTGTAACTTTCTAGTTAAAAGTAGAGTAATAGTACTTATTCATGCACCATGGTAACAAGCAATGAGCTTATTAGTATTGATGTGAGTTAGTCCGAGATCCTTGTAGATGCAAGATGCTATAGAAATGTAGTGCAGAATTATATTGGTTATATTATGAAGATTCTCACTAGCAACTATTTAACTGTCTTTAGTTTACAGTTTTAATTTTCTGAAGAACTAGTTTTTTTGACAGCACAGACATGCTCTGTTACTTAAGTATGAAATCCAATTGCTCAAGTTTCTTATAATTAGTTATTATCTGGAATTTTCTGGATGGATGTGCAACTATTTCACAGAGAGAGAAAATTTAGAGAATGAGGTGGTCTTTTTTTTTATCATCAGACATATTTACAGCTAGTTTAAAGTGTTAGGAGTTTATAATCAAATAATACATTTTCTGAGAAATGAAAGTTTGAATAATCTCTGGCTTTTCTTCCTTAGCAAAATGATCAACTTTTCACAACCAGATACAATTGATGAAAGGGCTATTAATAAGAAGAAACTCACTCCTTTCACTGTTTCTGTAAGTACTGCACAGATAGGAACTTGCCATAAATGAAAAAGTAAAGTATTTTTGTATAGTTTTGTTTTAATTATAGGTTTCCTGGCAGAGCAAAAAAAAAGTCCTATGTATTAAAAAAATGTGAAAGCATGAGACTGCTGAATTCGCCTTTTTCTTAGATGATATACAGGAAAACTTGCATTTTTCATGCTTTCCTTAGTGTTTTCCTTATTCACTATTCTCAAATAATTTTAGACTTCTGAGTGGGTGGTCAGGTCATACTTTAGCAATGAAGAAAGTATCTACATGGCATGGCTGTACACTGTGTAATAGGATGGTGCATTTTCAGTAGGGGAGAGTGACTTGGACAGAAGAAGAGAAGCTCTATTTTTAATTGTGTGTGAAGTCATGAAAATATTTGACAGTAACAGTCTTTAAGACCTTAGTTTGGGTATAAGAAAACAGGTCTGGAAGAGGGAAGTATATCCATAAGTTACCAGCCTAACGAGGGGAAAAAAAAATCCTGATTAAAAACCTTAGTTAATTGGCAGACTTTTCATTTAAGACTGTGACATTAAAATATGTAAAGATAAAACATACCATGGTCTAAATCCTACAAATGGGTTTTGTAATCTCAATTAAAGAAGATTTGTCAGCAAAGGTGGTACTATATTTGTTTATATTGTCTCTGTAGTGAGTTAAAATATGACACAAGAAAACAGAGAGTAATATTTACGGGAGCTGCCCGTGTCATGAAAAGTTTCGTCTCTGACAATCGTTAGCTTTGCTTTCAGTGTCAGGATGTTGAATTGCCATAATTTTCTTAGGCTGTCTGTTTAATTACGGTTTAACAGTTGCTTGGATAAATGTGTCAGCCTGTATAAGATCCAAGATGAGATGACAGTGATGTCGGTAGCCTCCTGCATGTGGCAGAATTCCACAGAGCACATTTTTTCACAGGATCAAGCCCCTGATACTTTGAGCAATATTGTTTAATTTGTGTATGTGATACTTATGAGTTACAAAAAAAATATTTTATTAGAGTATTTCTCAGCGATGCAAGTTGCAGAAGGTGGTCTATGATTTTTTTCGATGGGTTCGTATTAAACATTGTCAATAATGTTTTCCATTAAATTTAGGGAAGATACCTGGTGATTCATGAAAAATCTCCAGAGTGCCATTTACCACTGGGAACCATTGAACTAATGCATTATTTCTTACAACTTCTGAAACTTATGAAATTTAATATGAACAAATTTACTAAGAATTACAACCTCATAAATTTGTTAAACAATGATATTCCAAATAGGAAAACCTAAACCTGGCTCTGAACTCAGCATCTGCCATTGGCTGTACAGTTGTCAATATCGGATCACAAGATTTGCAAGAAGGAAAACCACACTTGGTATTGGGACTCCTGTGGCAGATCATTAAAGTTGGTCTTTTTGCTGATATTGAGATCTCCAGAAATGAAGGTAAGAGTAATGCCGAGTATAGCAATGTCTGCAATTTGGAATTAACTGAGATCACAGTAGCAATGATTTCAGCTTTCTTTCAAACTTGCTTTTAGCTCTTATCGCCTTGCTAAGTGAAGGGGAAGAACTAGATCAGTTAATGAAGCTTTCCCCAGAAGAGGTCTTGCTACGCTGGGTGAACTATCATCTGGCCAATGCAGGGTGGCAGAAAATCAATAACTTCAGCCACGACATTAAGGTATGTAGTTATTGCTCTGATCATTGAACATAATGGTATTTAAACACACTGTGCAAAGAAACAAATGAGCCAGATCAGAAGTATTTAGAAACAAATAGTAGTCATCTGCTTTTTCTAGCTATTGGTTCATCCTGCATTTTTCAGCACGGAAAGAGCATTATTTTGATCTCTTGTGTGCTATTCAGTTGCTCGTATGATGTATTATCACATCACAGTGTAAAGCGAACATTTATAACGAGCTCATATTTAGGGAAATTCTAATGTTCTAAGATTGTTTTTAGAGTTACTTAGGACAATTCGCACTGCCTTATTGGTTACCTTTTTCCTGTCCATCCTTCCCTGCTCCTGGATCTGCAGAAACCCATCTTTTCTTTCTTGTGTGTTTGAAGGAAGAAGTATATGCTTTAAATCCCCTCCTGGTGCATATATGTTAATGGTGATAGTCCTTGGTACCTAGCATTCTACAGAAGAGTAGGAAACCTCTCTTGAGGAAAGAGCAGTTATTCAGAGGGCTGTCTGGAGTAGCTACTGATTCTTGATACAAGGACAGAGCAGCCCCCTGCAATCACTGTGCTTTGCTGATGTGCTAATTACTGACACGAGAACTGAAAGGCACATTGGATCCTTGGGCAGATGGCAGATCTGCATAATTCTTCTCTCTTCTTCAGGCATTCTGCATAAGGTATACAGCGTACTGTAGTAAGTCCAGTCGAAGAGAGAAAACCCCAAATTTTTTAAACTAAAAGCAAAGGAGGAAGATTCCCGAAGATTATAAGACCTCTTCTTGTTAGTTATATCTTTTCAAATGCCACCAAGAAGGCTATTATTAAAGCAAATCTTTAACTAAGGGTTTTATATGAAAACTGCTACTATGGTAAAATTATTATATGCTATTTAAGAGAAGTATTAAATACTCTAAAACTAGCAGGATTTTGTTTTGTTTTATTTTATAGTGGGGAGGGGAAAAAACCAGAAGCATACGGAAAACCGCATCAAATAAATGTAGTTCCTTTTGTCACTATAGATTCATCCTAAAAGAGCCACTTTGCTCTCAATTTTTAATTCCAATTGCCTTGTTGGTTAAGAAAGAGAAGTTTTGAAAGGGAGAGTGAAGGAATAAAATATAAAAACTGAAAATAAGATCCATATTGGGATTTCTTTTGTGGGTAACATATAAATTTGCCTTAAATATCTGAATTACAGCTGTATAGTTCATATCCAGCAGAATATATTTAACATAGTCCAGAATAGCTAGCAGACATTCCTTTTCTCTGCCATCTGGCTAAATAAGTTCTATGAGGAATACCGTAGTAACATGGCTGCATGACCTCATCCATATTCACTGAAATTGGGGTGCCATACTTTTGCCATGCCTTTTGAATTGGGCTGTAAGAGCAGTAAATGGCTATGAAAGGCTACATACTTGCTCATGCTTTTTTAAAATGTTACACTGCTTGTTTTAGGATTCAAGAGCATACTACCATCTGTTAAATCAGATTGCACCCAAAGGAGATAACTTTGATGAATTGCCTGTTACAATTGACTTTTCAGGATTTCATGTAAGTATCAGAAACATAAAAACAGATTGGAATTACCTGAGAACTCTGTGTATGTGTCCACCATCCTGGTTCAAGGCTGTCCCAGAATCCCCTTTTGTAACACATATAAAAGCTCAGTCAGATTCCTCAGTGTCGCAAAAGCTTAAATGGTTAAAAACTTGAGTAAAGTTCCGGGGTGCTGCTGAAAACAGGATAACGCATCCTGCAGTCTAAAATTTGGAGCTGTGTTTTACTTGGAGTAGTGTCTAACTGTTTTGTATCTTCAGTTGGGTCCTCCAACATGAGTATTACAACATTCTGCTTCAGTTCTGCTCTTCTGGAATTCAGATGAGGAGAAACAGTAGACTGCCCAAACCTTGTGATCCTTCCTCAAGCCATATAGCATTCAGAAATAACATGTGAGCCCTTCCAATAACCAGCAGAAAAGTGTGGCAATTGTCAAGCTTAAGTTGTAAAGGGTTACTAAAACCAGCATAGGAAGATGTGAAAACACTTTTCTCTAAGCTGCTACATAAAGCTCATTGGAAGGATTATTCTGAGAATACATTTGGTACAAAATTGAACTGCCTGCCTCAGATATAAATACGTATATATCAATCAGAATCTTAAGTAGAATCTCATTATTCATTGTAATAATGAAAACCCACATGCAAAATTATGTTTGCATACAAGCTGTAGTCCTCTCGGACTCCTTCATGAGCATAGCTCTGTTTTATTTGTTTGCTTTTGTTTGGGGTTTTTTGGGTGGAGTGAGAAGGGATATTAGTTCACTTTTTCCCTGTAATTTCCTACAGTTCATATGATCGTGTTCTGTAATGGATTGTAAACTAGTATCAATAACGTGACAACTTGTTCTAGAGCAAGTTTCTGGTTGAGTGTACCAATGCTGAATTACTGACTGTTATTCTGTTCTAACAGTAATTCAATTGCTAACTCATTTCTCTATAAATAGTAACTCTTAGTGTTGTGAAGTTTAGAGGTAAAAAGTATATGCTACATGATTTTGAAGACTGATTTATTCTATGTAGATTAATAATATGGACAAATAAACAAAATAACACGTAGGTTACCAAATTAAGAAAATTTGGAGTCAAAATACTGAAAAGAAAACAAGATAGTGGATTATCACATTCTGAAGTATTCAGACTCTTAGTGAGGGTTTTGGGCATCATCTGTAATTACTATGCTTGAGAATATCAGTTTAAAGCAGTGATGGTGAACCTAGAGCACATGTAGCAGAATATGCAGTGTGGGAATCAACAGTCTGGAAACAGAAATATAACCACTACACCTCTGGCTGCTACTGCTGTTGCTGTGATTCATGAGCAGTGCTGCGCAGCCAGCCACAAAAGCAAAGGACAGAAAGAAAGTGGAAGCCAGATGGGAAGAGGGGAACTGTTGCGGGCTGTAAGAGCTAGGTCAGGTAATGGGGAAATGAGGGAGGAACTGACGTGGGTCATTTAAAGATTTGCCAAACTGAAGATTCAGTAAAGAATGGAAACATGCTAGTGCTCATTACAAATTAATTTTTATTATTTTTTTTTTCCGTTTAGGATAAAAATGACTTGAGGAGGGCTGAATACATGCTCCAACAGGCAGATAAATTGGGCTGCAGACAGTTTGTAACTCCAGCTGATGTGGTTGCAGGCAACCCTAAACTCAATTTGGCTTTTGTGGCAAATCTCTTTAACACATATCCAGCCCTACACAAGCCTGACAACTCATCTTACGATCTCAATTTATTAGAAGGTACTCAACTTACTAAGCATACAGGAGATAAGAATATTAGTGATTGCAATTTAAGTATTCCTTCTAGGTTGTGATATAGGATCCCTGTGTGATGGTGCTTGTGTTAACACCAGCATATAGAGCTTTCTCACTAGTTTTCAACATAATCCTTAGCAGAAGTCCCTGTTACTGTAAATATTGTTCACTTGTGTTAGCCTGACCAAAGGTTATTCCTGAATAACCTCCTATCATTCATTTGCAGGAGCAAAAACTGTACCCTTACTCCTTTTCCAGTTCCCTGTGCTTCTTTCCATACTGTTTGTTTTAGCGGATGCACAAATTCTAGCTTTCCCTGATTTGCAGTGCTATAATATGCAACTGTAATAGTCTTTTAAAGTACTTTTCACATATTGTGTTCATATATCTGTATGTGTGTGTATATTAGTTTGTTGCCTTTTAAAACAGGAAACATCTGAAAAAAGGCCTGTTTATCAACAACCTATATTAATCAGTGGCAACCTATATGGGTCCTATCATACCAGCAAGTTTGGATTTTAGCTGTACAATTCAGATCCCTAATGCTAGAGATAAAGGGATAATGGGTAGCAATCTTTAGCTGTTGCCCTTTCTGTGGACCAGCTAATCTATGATAATGAAACGGCTCCTGCCAGTGTATTCCACAGTTGTTCACTGATCTCAAAGGGATGGTGAGAATCAGGGGTGCCGCACTTGGGAGAATCATCAGCAATGTTCACACATTCCTCTGCACTGCCTACTCCTGCCTTCCTCTCACTGTTCCTATCTGGTTTCCTTTCCATCTAGGTGAGTCCATCTTCCTTTGCTCCTCTTTTTTTCATAATTTGTCTGCTCTGCTGCATCCCTGTTTGACAGATCTTGTATCCCTCAGACCACTCCTGTTTCAGGCTTCCTGCTCTGCTAGATTCAGCTGGGCACCAGCTGTGGTAGAGGTATCGGAGTGCAGGAGGTAGTCTTCCCTTTCCAGCTGTGATATCCCTAGTCACTGCAGGCCCTGCTATCCAGGATGAATGGCTGAAGGAAAGGCCTGCTCTTCCTCTGCTGCACTTCTGTTACAAATGTGTGCTCTTGCAGTGTATACAGGAGCTGTGTGGAGGTGGAATATGTTTGGTTCAGCTTCTTTGTTCTGAACATAAAGTTGCAGGTGTGATTTGAACTACTGAAAACTTGGTCAAATTTAGAATACTTTTCATGGGCACGGCAAAAACCAGCTGAACTCCTTTCTGAACTTTCTAAAACATTTAATGAGATCAAAGCCTCATGTAAAACAGTTTATAAAAAGTTACAATTACCTAAATGCTAATTATGATTTTGTAATGATAAATACTGGCCAAATTTAAATTACTGTTTATAGTATATATTTTAGAGATGGATAATCATGCAAGTGTTACCTGTTCAAATGCAATTGGACAACTCTTTTGCCTCCAAATAATAACTCCTGTGGTCTCGTGTAGATGTAAATCATCAAAACGGTTATTTCAGCCAAAAAGACAATGTTGTTAATGTGTTTTTCTGTTAATTTGTTTTATTTTCCCATAAAATTCTGTGTTTTTACTGATGTTTGCTCAAGGTAGTGTTATATAAAACATAAGACATTAATTTCTTTGTAGTTTCATCATAGATTGTCTGTTGAAATCTGACTCATAATTTATAATGCTTTCCTATTTTGCTTCATGAAATGCAGATTTGACCCCTCCTAATGTAGGTACTGTATTTAGTACTTTTCTGTACACCATAAAAGTGTTTATTCTGCAATTTTTCTCTTTTTTTCGTAGTGTTCTAATAATCTCTGTCCTTTTCTGGTTGTTTTCTGCGTTGTTCTTGTATTTTTCATTACTTTCATATGCTGTCGTAAGTAAAAGAGAAGAAAAAAATTCCAGAGGTCTAACGTGATACATATAAAATGGGGGCAGGACTTGCAGTAAGTCAAATGCCATATAGTTCTTTCTGTGGGTTTAACTAGTAGGGGCCTTCCATGAACCAAGATGTAAAGCTCTAGGCACGTGTGGGTGAGTAGAGCTTTCTGAAACTCCACGTTTTCCTGTGTTAAATTCCATCTTTTCAGTGACTGTTCCACCCAAAAAGTACAGTGTGGCAGTTCTCTTTAAAACCAAAACCACTGTGCGTAAATTGACATCTGCTCTTATAATGCTTAACAAGTCTGGTGATGTGCCGTTGTATACAGAGAGAATATCCCTCGGTTATACAGACATAGCAAAATGACCGTTTGATATCATGTGGGGATGGAGGGGGGAGCCCTGACCTCGGTCAATGCACAGCCTTTAACTGGGTGTTGCTGTTGCTTTGAGGAGCCTCTGACTTGTGGGGAAGGCAGCAGAGTTTGGAGTCTAAGTCACGCAGAAAGCTGAGTTCTTGGGGGGAGGAAGAGGAGGGACTTCTGTCCACCCATGCTTCCTCCGGTGTAGATGTCCGCTGCTGCTTAGTCCTCTAGCAGCCTGCAAGGCTGTTAACCACCCTCTCAGGCCAGCTGAACTTAGGGTGCAAATTGCAGCTTGAGCTCTGTTGTCTTTCAGAGAGAAACCCAGGTATTTGGAGCCCTTTGGATTCTTGACCCCATCCCCTGTGGGGGAACTACTCAGTTCCATAGTATAATCATCTCAAAGAAAGAGATGGCAATAAATATAAAGGATACTACCAAATTTGCTCCTCTCTCTTTTGTGTAGCTCTGCCCCCTTTCTGCAGTTTTCCAATGATTTTGGCTATCTGCTGCACCACTCAGCAGAAGATATGCTCCTGATAAGATCACAAGGTATATTTTGCATAAAAGAATAGAGAGAAAAAATTGGTCGGTTCTCAGCCATCTGGAAAACTTGGGAACGTTTGTGTTGCATGATGAAGGGATTTGTTTAGAGTGGCATATTAAATATAGTCTGCTGGGTCTAGTCCTGGACTCCCACTGTCCAAAAGGGTGCTGCCCAACTTGCACGCTCTTGCTCCTGCTTGGCTACTTTGGGTTCTTTCGACAGTGTTAAGCATGCGTTTTAAAATTCTCAGTCTGAGTGCAGTTTCTGAGTATCTGTTCTTATAGCTATGCTTTGCTTAGTAAGAGTTCATTAAATAATCTTGTTACTGTCTTTGCAGTGGACAAGTGTTCCTAAAAGCACTTTGCAGCCAGTATTTTAGGTGTTGCAAATAAACTCAAAGCTCAGTAAGCCTAAAAACTTCAAAAAAGAAAAAAACCAAAAGGGAGTTGCTTCAAAATACTGCAACCTCTTAAGATGCTCTTTATAAACTTAAATTACGTAGCATGCTTGTATTTTGATTGTACCTTTTTTATGGGAAAACGCTGATATTTTTAATAACTCTGTCATAGAATGTGCTGCTTTCTTGTCTTTTAAATTTCATTGTGGGAAGAAATATGTGAAACAAAACTGGCTGTCTGAAGTCCATGCAGAATAGTAGTTTTCTTTATTTCAGCATGTATTTGTCAGTGACTGTCTGGTAATTTATACAAGTAAATCTTTGAAACGAGTACTCATTTGAATTTCATATGAAAAACCTCAAAAATTAGAAAGAAAATAGAGCAGTAGGATGAATATAATTGATTTCATAATAATTGGAAAGTAACTGGTAAGCTGGCTGAAATTTTTAAAATAAAATTTATTCCGTAGGAAAATGTCAATTGCAGCTGAAACTTCTGAATTTAAATTTTTTATGAATATATTTTGAAGTTCAGAGCTTTTCATATAAAAGGGGAAGAGACCTAGATTAAAATTGTAACCTTGATCTAAAAATGTTGTGACATAGGTCTATTTCATGAAAAAATAACATTAAAGAGGTTTTCTTTCTGTTCTAATGATGTATGTTTATATAGTAGCTTCATTTTGCGAAAACATTCATTGTTCTGTAGTCAACATAGAACTGCAGTAATAAATGAGACAGTAAACCTCGTTAGACAAATTTGGTACCATTATCGTCTAAGGAACGGACGAAGAAAGCATAGAAAAATTTCACACAGATTTTTGTGTTTCATTCCTGAGAAATCTAGTCTTTCATTGTGTGGAGTTTTTCCCTCCTCAATGTCCTTTCTGTTGTCTTAACTGTGGATTATCAGCCCAGGGGAACAAAGTGCTGAGGTTATTCCAAGCTCACATATTCAGGGTAAATATTTTCTTAAATGCACTTCTTTGATGTAAGAGAAAACAGCTTATGTAGCACTGATTCACATGCAACTGGCCACAGATACATTGTTAAAATTTAGGTAATGTTGTATGTAGAAAATTAACATATTACTGCAAACTGTGACTTTATAGAGAAAGAACATTAGTTTAGAAACTCATGATTACAACAGATAAAAACAGTCTTACGTCAGGAAAGTGAAGGGTTTGGGTTTTTTCCCTACTGAATTTTCTGCATTTCTCATAAGCAGAGTTGGTAGTTAAAACTGCAAGAATAAATAGCTTCACAAATTTAACCAGTACAGTACTGCCCTGCTGAGTCTCCAGTGTTAAAAACTGAAAAGGTGAGGTCTGTTGCTTTGGGCAGGACCTTCACAAATTAATAATGGGAGCTTCTGTTTGAAGTGGAGCTGTAGTTTCTGGAGTTTGATGCAATTACATAAGCATGTTAGTACTAACTTTTAAGAAAAATACGCCATTTCAAACAAATTTAAAGATACTGTTGAATGGAATTTCCACGAATTTTCGTTTTAGGGAATTATTAGAAATCATCAATATTTTCTCTATGATATAGTAATTATATAAAATATAGCCAACAAATTGTCTATTTCTGTATTTTATCAAATTGTATTTACACAGTCTAATAGTGCTCCCTGTAGTGCCTCTGGCCTTGGGCCCAGAACTGAGGGACTGAATTTGATAGGGTTGGCTCAACTTATTGGCCAGTGGAGACTACTGTTGGGGAAAGGATGAACTGAGTTTTGGGGGGTGGGGGAAGGGCTGTGAGAGTCATTTAAACATTGCTTATTAAAGTGTTTTCTCCAGTAATTCATATAGAATTGTATTTATCACCATAGGAGAAAGCAAGGAAGAAAGGACTTTCAGAAACTGGATGAATTCACTGGGTGTAAGCCCGTATGTTAATCATTTATACAGGTAAGGCCTTTTTTTAAAAAATGGTAATTTTATTTCCCTTGTATGACAGGGAAGGGAGGAAGAAGGGAAGAAGAAAGGGAAGTTGTTTCTACTAGAACAGTGATTTCCAGGATTCCACACAGTGTGACAGGAAATTCAAAACTGATCTGTAGTACCTGTATCTGACTTGGCTATTCCACACAAGATCTAGAAATACTAGAAAACCTAAAAAACTTTGATATGCCCCCCTCACTTGTATTTGAATTATATTTTTTAAAAAGTTGAGATAATTGTGGTTTATAATGCATTATTTTTAATTTCTCACATGATGATTGAAAAGACCGCGAACATATTAAAACAGTAATATAATTTGAAACTACAAGACAGAATAGATGTCTGCCGAGTAGATTGCAAGAATATATGTATTCCCTCAGAACGAAGGGCATTTTAGCATGCTTTTTAGATGCTTCTGATCACTTTCAAATTGTGCCAGCAGCTGATTCAAATCCTATTAATAAAAGGTGGGTTATAGGGAGCAACTGGGAACATCTGCTTGCATGTCTACATGCTGTTAGGTTTCATTGTTTCTGTTTTCTGACCTCTGTAAAGCGATACCATCTGTAGATAGTTTATTGTGGAGAATTTAATTTAGCAAGTAGCTGAAGGGGATTATCAGGAAAGCAATTTATAATGGGAAAATAGTACTTTTCCTAATTTTTTTTTTTTCCATGGGGTAAGTTGGTTTTGATCATTCTTTAGCAAAATACATCTGTAGGTGCAGATAAAACATGAGTATTTAACATCCTGGAAAGTCCTGAGGAAACTACAACTAGATCAGTAAATGAAATCCCTTGAGCTAGGTGTTTTATCTATGCCTACCCCATGAAAGCAGTAATTTAAAGTTGGTAAAACCACTGGCTGTGCTTACTTCACTGAGATTTGTGAAAATAATGAAATTAAATACACAATTTAATGTAAATAATCACAGAAGTCAAGCCAATAGTATATAGACCAGTTTCTCCAAAGATTTTTATTTATGTGACTCGAATTTTTCAGCACTTAATTGCACTTTGAGAAGTCTTATGTACTTCACAATTTCATTGTGAATATGAGCTTTTGTACTTAAAAACATTGTTTTACTCTCATTTAGCGACCTCTCTGATGCTTTAATAATCTTCCAGTTGTATGATATGACTCGTGTGCCAGTTGACTGGAACCGTGTCAACAAACCTCCTTATCCATTACTCGGTGGTAATATGAAAAAGGTGGGTAGATACTCTGTAATACCATCCAGTTTCACTGTTGCTCGTCGTGCTGCTTGTAGTAATCTGGGTTGTCTGGGTTTGCATGCTACCGAGACAGTCCTGGCCAAGGGAAAAAAAAAGGAAAAAAGTGTCTTCCAGATATTATCCCAAGGAGTAAACAGCAGTTATAGCATACATCACTTTTAGTTTCTAAACGTGGACACCTTTCGACAGTATGTAATTTGGGGGCTAATGAGGGTATATAAGTTTTAGGCCTGACCACAGCTATCATTGCCTGATGCTCCTATATTGCGAGGTGTTTCCTCGCAGAGCAGTTTTGTATGCTGCCAGGAGAATTTGTGCAAGACTTGCAAAATCCAAGCTTTCCGTTAGCTGTGTGATCATTGTGAAGCCAGCAATGTAGAGGAAAAAAAATTACTGTTTAAGAACAACACATTTCAATGTTTTTTCACATTTGGTTTTGATACAAGTACATATTAATTCATTTACTGTAGTGGAAATGACCTTGGGTTTTTCTCAAGTGTGAAAAAAGATTATCATTGGAATCTTGCATACTTGCATTTATAGTAAAAACTTACTTTAATCACAGTGTAGAAGGGCTAGAAATCTTTCTCTAGCTCCAAATCTCACCATAGGTAACAGTAAACCGAAGTAATTCCAAATACATGTAGATTATAGGTCTGTCTTCTAGAAATATTAAGGTGTTCTCATTATTTGCATGCAACATTTATTTTTAGATTGAGAATTGCAATTATGCAGTAGAACTGGGGAAGACAAAAGCCAAATTCTCACTGGTTGGTATTGCTGGACACGATCTGAATGAGGGTAATCCAACGCTGACCTTGGCTTTGGTATGGCAGCTGATGAGAAGGTAAGCTAGGCGCACAGTGTATGATAGCTGTGTGTATATAAGTATCTGTGCACGTGTGTGTATGTGTGTCTCTATATATCAAGGCAAATTAAAGCTAGCGTTCGGTTCACCCAACAGGTATTTGAGAGCCATCTCTAAATAGCCCTCTTCTCTAAGATAAACTTTTCTTTGTAGTTTCACATACTGTGTAGTGATTGAAACCACAATAGTGTGTATGTGTACACGTCCATTTATATAGACGATTAAAACCTTATATAGTAAAAACTGATTAAAATTATAAATCCTGCAGCAAGTAAAAAGAGCACAACTTATTTCACGTTGATCCCATGTATTTTTCCATAAGTAGAGTGTAATTTAAATATTTGTAAAATAAAAAAAGAAAGATAAACAGTAAGAAGGTATGTATGCTATAGAAGTTAAAATGGGATGAAATTTTTAGGCCATCACAACTGTAGTAATGTAACCATGATAAAATCTTGCCAGTGCACTGAGCAGGAAAAAAAATTATACATTGATTTCAATAAAGAGTATTTTATTACAAATATTTTGTACAAGTTAAGTTTCTTAAACCTGTCCCAGAACACTCAATGCTTTTTGTTTCTCAGACTGTTGTGATTCAGTTTTCAAGTGAACTTGGATGGTAGGGAGCTATTTAAGCTTATAAAGTAAAATTAGTTACGATGTGCTGCGTAAAATAAAAATATGAAGTAGATGTAACAGTGAATACTATGAGTTTTGCAATGTTATTTTATTCTTGCAACAACTGAAAAAGTAAAGTACTAAATAGTTTATAAGGTAAAGGTACCTTATGAAGATAAGTACTTGGCATTGTTACTGTGTTGAAGTAATATTTTACTTTTGCTTGTAGCTTTGTACTATTAGCAGAGTCGAGTTCTATCACTCACTTTAACTTGGGCTCTTACTTTCTTTATTAAAGGTATACTTTGAATGTGCTGTCAGACCTTGGAGAGGGGGAAAAAGTGAATGATGATATTATTATTAAGTGGGTGAATCAGACGCTTGCAAACGCAAATAAGAAAACTTCAGTTACAAGTTTCAAGGTAATCAAATTACTTTGCTTCTTTCGACATATAATCAGATGTGGGATTTTTAACTTGATAACAATTTGGCTTTAAGAGGGGCTCTCCCATCAGCTAGCATAATTGTATAAGGAAACATTTCTGATAGTCTGTGAATCTTCAAAAATATTTTGCAAGTCTATTAATAAGAAACAAAAAGAAATTGTAATTGCTACTGTAAGGAAGAAAAAAAGTGAAACTTTCAAAGGGGCTTCTGTCTGTTTGGGGATGGCATGTAATAAACCTTCCAGATTTCTGGATATAAGCATTCTCATGCTTGGACAAACATGAAGAACAAGAACAATTTTTGAAATACTGGGAGCGGGGGGAATCACTTTTTTTAAATAACAGCTGGTCAAAGATGTACTGGTGCGTGAGGGAGCCCAAGTTAACCAGCGATATCTTTTGTCTTCATTGGCACTGCTGATGTGCACCAGACCTGTACAAAACAGGAGCTTTTCCCATTCAGCAAATATGAACAAATTGATGAAGGAAGCCTTCCTTTCACATTTTTAAACTGTTAAACATGAAAGAAGTCATATGTGTGTCACGTGTGTTATGCTGTGTGAATCTCATTCTTTAGAAATGGTAGATTAGTAATTGCACTTGTCTGCAAATACAACGTTCTAATACAGGTTCGCTGTGTATACTCTGAAGCAATTATATCTGTGGTTCACAACAGGAACATAAGAACCTAGCAAGTTAAATATCTGAGAGCTCACTGTTACGAAATTGAATTAGGTGAGCATTAGGCAAAAGGTAATATAAAATAATTTTATTGAACAAAATACTTCATTTTTACTCTAGAAGGTAACTTAGGCTTCATCTTCTTAAAAAGGATTGCTGCTTCTCTTCTACAGAAATGGTAATAATGGTGGTATAAATAAGTTGAAAGTGCAATGAGAATCTGTCCCAGCATCGTGCTTTTGGTATGCCTGTGGGTTTTGGGGGCCGTTGGTTGTGGTTTTAAGGTAATTCAACAGATGGTAGACCAATAAAGATAAGGAGCTACTGATGTAAAGTGACATTATCCAATATACTTTTTTTACTGCTGATTTTTTGCAACATTTATATATATATATATTGTTTTTCACAATGTGATTATTTGTATTTTGGGGTTACTGTAGCAGATTGTGTAGCAGAGAAGGCAGAGGTGTCTGTTATTCGCTATGGACTGTGAAGGCAAAGTTCTGTTGATTTGCCATTAGTTCGAACAATAAACATGTCAAAGGTGTGGGTTTTGGCTTATGGCCTCGGGGAGATAGTCCATGTGTTCAGTGTCTTGAAGCAGGTTTAGATTAGTATTTTAAAATGTATGATGAATGTGGTGTCTCTGTGGGACTTCACTGGATTTGAAATCGTAGTTCTGACTTGGTGGCAGAGGCAGCCGTGTCACATGGCTCATGTGCCAAGCCCCTGCGGGAATAGAGCCAGCCTCCCCGGGACTGCCTGCTGATGGTTGGTTTGACATCATCAGCTGCTTACCTGCCCTAACAGTTGGGAAGAAATAATGGCAGCAATAGCACTTGCTGTTTTAAGAATAGAAGATGACGCATGTCCATGTATTAAATACAAAACATAGACTGCTCGTACTAGCTCAGAATACCATCCGAGTTGAAAAATTATAAAAAGTCAGCTGTAAACTACTGCAGAAAATAGTTCCATTACAAGAAAAGAAGAAAAATAAAAGTAGTTGGGGAATGTAAATACTTTTTTTGTTGTCTTGAAAGTCTGGTCCTTGGACTTCTTTCAAAGTTCCCTTCCTTCAGGAAGGAGGGGAGTTTCTTTCATTTAATAAACCATTTGTGTAATAATAATATCAACACTGAACCATAGCATTTTGATTGTGGAAAAGAATATTAGACCTCATAAAGAGGGTGGAAAACCTTCACGCAGTAAAGTAACAAAATATGCTGCTGTCTTTCAATAGGTATGTAAGATGTGCTGTAGGGGTTTTTTGCGTTATAAAGCAAAATAATCAAACCAAATTCCTTATACTAATCTTTTGAGTCTTTTCTTTCAGGACAAATCAATCAGCACTAGTTTACCTGTTGTAGATTTAATAGATGCCATTGCACCAAAAGCAGTTCGTCCAGAAATGGTCAAGAGAGAAGATCTTTCTTACCAAGACAAATTGAATAATGCTAAGTAAGTTTTAAATGAATGCTTTGTATTTTCCTAAAGTGCAGGAAATGCATGAATTCATGGTGTCATGAATGATTTACTGATCTGTTAACAGAGAGAGATTACACTAATATTAGTTGATTTATTTCAAATAGAATATATTCTAAATTCTAATATTCTGGAGCTCTACTAGAGCATGTTTAAAATATGAACTCAAATTCATGGCTGAGATGACCTACCACCACTGCACTGCAACTGGTTTATTAATAGCCTGCCGTAACCCGTATCGGTTTTGACAAAAATAAATGCTTTGATAACTAGTCTGCCAAAACAATTACTAATACATGCTTTCTTCGCAATATTGTCCATTCTCTCTTAGAGCACAAGTACTGACTGAACAGGCATATCCTGCTATTAAAATCTGTTGTTGTTATTGTGAATCTTGGCCCATTAGCAGATGCAAGGAAAAGAATAATTTTTATTCTCTCTTGTTTTCAAAGGTATGCCATTTCAGTTGCTCGAAAAATCGGTGCTCGTATATATGCTCTCCCAGATGATCTGGTGGAAGTGAAGCCAAAAATGGTGATGACAGTGTTTGCATGTTTGATGGGAAGAGGACTGAACAAAATAAAATAATGAAGACATGTAATACAGCTTTCTGCCATGTTAAGCACGATGAATGCCTCGCAGTTTACAGAGTTCTGAAGCTTAGTATAAAACGAGAAAAATTTTATGCACAAATATACTCATTAATTACGTTTTAATAATATGTTTATATTACTGAACATTTTATTCAACTTCATAACACATTGATTATGTATGGGTAATAATGTCTTCAGAACATGTCCATTACCAAATTAACATCGCAGATTTGTATTCCTTTAAAAAAACCCACACCATATTAATCAAGCTTCATTTGTATTAGTTTCCTTAGCATTGTAAGAATCTGTATTGTTTTACACGTTATTTCAGGACCTGTTGTGAAACACTGTTTGATTTTTGTGGGTGTAACTTACATGTAGTCCTACAAGTCTGAAGGTGCATTCCGATCCTATTGTATTACTCCTACCTGCAGAGAAGTTATCATCCTTGCCTTACTCTGAGAGCTTAATTCCTGTTGAAGCCAATGAGAGTCTTGTATTTGACTTCAGTGAGAGCAAGTGAAGGCCTATGATACTGTCTGGAAAATAATATTGATAAAGCTGATAAAACTTTTTTGTGGGAATAATCTTTAAATATATGTAGTAGTTTGTTGTTCTGTTACTGAGCAGGAACTTTTATGGTCGGTGTCTTAAGAAAAAACAGTAAATAGTAAGCAGAAATGTAATTGTCATTATGAGGTCTGCATATGCATTAGCTTTTGCAGTTGGACTAAACATCTGACTTTTTTTTTATTTTTTCATAAAATATTGTATAAGAAAACAATAAAGAGCTGGCTAGTCCAGTTTGAGGTTTCACATTAATGTATTGCATTTCCTTGTAGGTTACTCCTTTGATTTTCCTAATGTGTATCATGTGTGTAGAGGTTTTGTCTAGAAAGACTGGTGCATTGTCTGGATGAGATGAAGTCCGTGATTATTTTCTTATTAATTTTAAAGGAAGTATTTATACTTCCTTCTATGCAGCTGTAAATTTTATTCACCAAACAGTCTGGAGCTGGATGTTTAATAAAGTTGTTACCAGAAGCCAAATGGTAAGAAAGAAAAAAAAGTAATTTTTTTTTTAAAGTATGAAGCTGCTACTTTCTCACCTCCTGAAAACAGTCCTCACAGTGGCAAAACCCAAGAATCATGATGAGTGAACAACTGGACTAAGCTTTGCATCTTCGGTATCTTGCACAACATACTAACAGAAGGCAGATGCATTCATTTAGTTTCTTTTGTAGAAGGGGATACTGGAAGCTGAGATAATTAAGTCCTTGGATTTAGATCCATTTGTCTCTGACTGGTTTGTAGTGTCTGGACAAGAATAAGTTATTAATATTTGATAGTTATATGGTTTCTATTCTGAGTTCTAAACGATGACCAAGTGTTGTACAGATTTTGAGTTCTTTGCCCTGATTCTGGAGACAATTGAATCTAAGTCCTCATTCAAGATAGGCTAATTTAAGATTAAGTAAATCTCCATACCACAAGAATAAATGGTCTATTCTTGAGATAAGCAGTTCTAAAGTCCTGTATTTACGTGCCCAGGCACTCAGCAGCTTACTCTGTAAAGGTCCATGTTTCGTCTTGTGTAAACTATTGCTGTAGGGTTTGTTCCCTTTAGGAAAAAATCTGCTACAATTACCTAGCTCACTATTACATGTCCAGAATTACTTTAAACTTGCTTTGTCAAATTGGTATGGGTTTTCAGGGCAACCATGTCATGCTTCTCAGCATAGACGTTTGACATGCACGCTAAGAGCTACGTGTTGAAGAATCAATGCTGGCTAACACCATCTGAACAGAACTGTCTTCTCAACATAATGGTCACTAAAGAGTGAAAGTTAGATTTTCAGCTCGCATTAATCCTTACAGCTCAGCTGAAGTCAGTGAAGCAGTGAACGCTGGTTCTGGGGCTGTGTGATGCAAACGTACGCTATGGGAATGCGGGTAAGCTCTTGCGTATCATAGAGTAATGCACAAAAATTAGTTTGTGTCTGATAGCTCATCTATGACTGTCTTTTTGGAGACATTTGGCAGATAATAGGGGAAGGGAAAACAATAGCTGTGACTTCTAGAAGCATTGACAGAAGAGCACAGTGACTGAAAATACAGTTTAACAAATATTTGCACACCAGTGCCTGGAACAGCTCCTCCCCCCCGCGGGAGGGGCAGACGGGCCGGCGGTGCCTG